CTCTTTGGGTTTCTCTTGTTTGGGGCTCTCTGGGCTTCCTGGACATGCAAGTCTATTTCTTTCACCAGGTAGGGGAAGTTTTCTGTCATTTCTTCAAATAGGTTTCAACATCTTGCTCCCTCCCCGTTCTGTCACCCCCCATAATGCGAATATTGGTACACTTGAAGTTGTCCCAGAGGCTCCTTACATTATCTTCATATTTTTGGATTCTTTTTTTCTTTTTGCTCTTCTGATTGGATGTTTTTTGCTTCCTCATATTCCATATGGTTGATTTGATTCTCAGAATCCTTTACTGTTGAATACCTGTAAATTGCTCTTTATTTCAGTCAGAGTATGCTTAATTTCTAACTGAACCTTTTTCATGTCTTTGACATTCTCACCAAGATCCTTGAAAGTCTCATCAAGATCTTTGAGTAATCTTATAACCATGGTTTTGAACTCTGTATCCAGTAGTTGGCTTGCTTTCATTTGTGACATGTTTCTTTGTCTCCACATTTTGGCTGCTTCCCTGTGTTTGTTTTTATGCATTGGGTAGAGCTACTATGTCTCCTGGAATTGGTAGAATGGCCTTGTATAGTAGGGTCCAGTGGCTCAGGATCCCCAGTCACCTGAGCTTGGCACTCTAGGTGTACCCCTTTGTGAGCTGTGTGCATAGTCTTGTAGTTGAGTCTTGATTGCTGTTGGCGTCACTGGGAGGAATTGACCTCCAGGCCAATTGGCTGTGAGGACCAGCTCTGACTACAGTGGAAGAGCTGCTGTGCAAGAGGTAAGGCCCAGCTGTGAAGCAAGGCAGGCTGGTGCTAATACCCGGTCTTGGGCTTTTTATTGACAGGTTTGGGCATGCTGTCACCAGCTGCAGCTTGTTTGAGAGATTTTAGCAAAGTCTGAAGCCTGAGCCAGGACAGGCAATTCATATAGAAAAGCTGCTGCAAACACCTTGGGTGCGGCTGCAAATTGGATGGAGTAGGGCAGTGGTTCTCAACCTTCTGGCCGTTTAAATACAGTTCCTCATGTTGTGACCCAACCATAAAATTATTTTTATTGCTACTTCATAACTGTAATGTTGCTACTGTTATGAATCATAATGTAAATATCTGATATACAGGATGGCCCTAGGCGACCCCTGTGAAAGGGTCATTCGACCGCCAAAGGGGTCGCGACCCACAGGTTGAGAACCTCTGGAGTAGGGTCTCAGGGAATCCTCAAGGTGGAGTAAACACTGTGAGCCACGCTGATGGAAACTCAGGTATGGCTGCCAGTCAGCTCTGCAATGGGGGAGGTCCTAGCATAGGAACAATGACCCTTGTGAGCACCCCTGTCTGGGAGAAAGCCACCTCTGAGTTTTTGCCCTGATGTCAGACAGTCCAGTTCCTCTGTCTATGTGTCTGGGTTCCCCAGAGCCTCCTGGTGCTGGAGCTCAGAGGTGTGGTGCGCTGGCCCTTTAAAAGGAACAGCTGCATCTCAAGCAGCCTCTGTGTCACTCAGCCACAATCCCTGCTGGTTTTTACAGCCCAAAGTTTCAGGGACTTCTCTTCCCAGCTCTGGAATCCTGGGCTGGGGGTCTGGTGTGGGGCTGGGGCCCCTTGCTCCTCATAGGCGGCCTCCACAGAGACCATCTCCCTCCCGATTAATAAAAACAGCCCACGTGGGTACTGGACCAGCCCCTTCAGCACCTCCACCCCTCCTACCTGTCTCAGTGTGCTTTCTTCTTTAATTCTCTAGTTGTAGTACTTCCATTCAGCTAGCTTTCAGATGGTTCTGAATGATGGTTGTTCTGTATTTTAGTTGTAATTTTGATATGGTTGTGGGAGGTGGAGAGTACTGGCGTTTACCTATGTCACCATCTTGGTTCTCCTAGCCTGTTATATTTGGTCAAACATTTGATTGACTCACCCCTAATGCCTTGGCAGGACCTGACCAAATGAGTTCGCAGGCCTTATATAGCCTGCAGGCTAGACATTCCCCACCCTTGCTTTAGAGAGTTGGTGACAGAGTGGCAGGCCATACTTACAATTGAGACTTGGTCCAAGGATGCTCAGTAAGCCACTGTTCCCAGAACTATTCATTACATTGTATTTCTTTACCCACTTTACACACACACACACACACACACACACACACACACACACACACACCCCCGACTTTAAACTTAGTGATTTGTATGGTCTTAGTGGGCAATTTCTTTTTAAATTCTCACCAAAGGATATGTTCCCATTGTTCTTTAGAGAGAGTGTGGAAGGAAGGGAGAAGGAGGAAGAGAGAGAGAGAGAGAGAGAGAGAGAGAGAGAGAGAGAGAGAGCGCACATTGATGGAGACACATTGAATGGTGTGGGGAATCAAACCTGCGACCCTTCGTTCCATGGCCTGAAGCTGTAACCACTGAGCAAAACCAGCCAGGGCTTTAGTACAAAATTTAATTCTGGAAGTGATTAGGCAGAACATGAATGGCTAAGATCTGATGATTGATAGGTCTAGGAGGAAGTGAAGGAAGGAAGCCAAAGTCATCAAAGAATCTTAGTAGGCCCTTATTGACTACATGAAAAGTAGTCCCACTCAGAGAATGTGGGTAATTGGAAGATGAAGAGGCAATTACTTAAAATTCTATCTTTTTCTTTTGGCACATAAAATCATATCCATGATTTCAGCTTACAAATTCCATTAATATTCCCTATTCTTGGAAAAGAGTACGCAGCATTACTTCTTAATTTTTGTGTTCAAGCAACATTAACTCTGGGCCACAGTAAGCTCTTTTTCCTTCATGTCATATTATGGACATATAAGTCTTAGGTTTTCTGTGATGTATGTCCTAAGGTTCTGGAACAGAATGATTACACATCATTTCTTTCTCTTCCCTGCTGTATTTTTTCTTTTATGTGTTTAGAAAATCCGGGCATATCTCAAACATGTATAGAAGTGCATTAAAAAAATACAAACACCCATGAACTACTCACTGGCCAGATTCAATAAATAAAAACATTTAGCCATATATACTTATATGCTCTTTACTTTTTTTGAGAAATAAAGCATTAAAGAGTTGATGCCTCCTTTTTTTCTTTTTCTAATCCCATTCCTCCCTCTCCTTTCCTTGAGGCCACCTCTATTCTGAGGTTGGTATGAATCCTCCTTGTTACCATAGAAAAATAATTTCTTAATGAATTGTTACCTATTTTTAAACTTTTGAATTCAAAGGGCAAAGTAACTAATTTTATGGTTTCTCTACCATGAATCATTTTCAATGACTCAAATATATATATATTTTCACTCCTGGGCAAAAGTAGTCACATTTGAGCTATTGCTAAGACTGTGCTTAACTACATAAAATATTTTGTGTTCTCTGATCAGATGTGACATTCATTAAATAGCCTATATAATAAAAGGGTAATATGCAAATTGACCCTAATGGCGGAATGACCAGGAACGACCCATCGCTATGATGCACACTGGCCACCAGGGGGCTGATGCTCAATGCAGAAGCTGACCCCTAGTGGTCAGTGCACTTCCACGGGGAGCTCCGCTCAGCCACAAGCTGGGCTGATGGCTTCGAGCTCAGCGGTGGTGGCAGGAGCCTCTCCCACCTCCTTGGCAGCGCTAAGGATATTCAACTGTGCCTTAGGCCTGCTCCCTGCTGCCAGAGGGATGTCTCACTGCCAGCTTAGGCCCGACTCCCTGGGGAGTGGGCCTAAGCTGGCAGGTGGACATCCCCCAAGGGCACCTGAGCTGCCAGAGAGATGTCTGACTGCCAGCTTACTAGGCCCAATGCCCCACGAAGCGGGCCTAAGCCAGCAGGTGGACATCCCCTGAGGGGTCCCGGACTGCGAGAGGGCATAGGCCGGCCTGAGGAAACCCCCTGAATGCACAAATTTTTGTGCACTGGGCCTCTAGTCCTATGTAATAAAGAGGTAATATGCAAATTGACCATCATGCCCTCACAAGATGGCTGCCTATGACCAGGTCGGCGAGGGGGTTAGTGAGGGACGACCAAATAACTGAACAGCAGGCTGTGTGGGGTGACCAGGCAGGCAGAGGGCTTAGTGAGGGACGACCAAACGACTGAACAGCAGACTGCGTGGGGCGACCAGGCTGGCAGGAGGGGCAGTTGGGGGCAACCAGGCCAGCAGTGGGGGCATTTGGGGGCGACCAGGTTGGCAGGGGGGCAGTTAGGGGCAACCAGGCCGGCGGGGAGGGGTGCAGTTGGGGGCAACCAGGCCAGCAGTGGGGGCAGTTGGGGGCGATTAGGCTGGCAGGGGGAGCAGTGATGGGTGACTAGGCCAGCGGGGGGGCAGTTGGGGGTGACCAGGCTGGTGGGGGGGCAGTTAGGAGTGACCAGGCCGGCAGGGAGGGGTCAGTTGGGGGTGACCTGGCCGGCAGCTGGGGGCAGTTAGGGGCAACCAGGCTGGCAGGGGGCCAGTTCGGGGTGATCAGGCAGGCAGGCAGGTGAGTGATTAGGAGCCAGCGGTCCAGAATTTTGAGAGGGATGTCCAACTGCTGGTTTAGGCCTGATTCCCGGGATTGGGCCTAAACCGGTAGTCGGACATCCCCCAAGGGGTCCCGGATTGGAGAGGGTGCAGGCTGGGCTGAGGGAACCGCCTCCCCCCCTGCCCCCCATGCACAAATTTCGTGCACTGGGCCTCTAGTATATAATACCATTCCTGAAATATTCTTTAAAAAGTCTTCATATTTACCTTCTATATCTAGGGAGAGTGAGAGAGGAGAAGGGACAAAGAATGATTTTATTTTCTTTCAGGCCAACTTATTTGAAAAACTAATATTATAAGCTACAAAAAGTGAAGGAAACATATTTAATGTGTGCTAGTAGGACTTGTATCTCTTAGCTTAATAGTCTGTACATTTTTGATGCACTGTATTATGGGCAGCAGCATGAAGAATTTAATGTTATATTGCAAAATGTTTGTGGTTAGTTTAGATGGGAGGTCAGTGTGATAAAGGAGAAAATCTAACAATTAACTGTGCTGTTTGTTTTGTCAAAATATGCTGCCCAGCTCCAGAGTTTCCGATTTTGGAGAAGAAGAATTGGTTGATACATCTCCACTATATCCGGAAGGATTATGAAGCATGCAAGGTGAGAGATTGAAATGATAGGCAGACTTTGGTTAGGCGGCTGACAGTGTCTGTCACACACAGTTTCTGTCCCGCTAATAATGTATGAATTGCTGTTTTCCCATACTTGGTGTATTTGTTAGCCTTTGCTATGATAATGCTGCTTTAGAAACAACTTTAATTCCAATCATCTCCAACAACAGACGTTTATTTATTGCTCTTGGGCCTTCATATTGGCTGTGGGTTGGCTGGGTTTGACTATAAGTTGTGGGTCAGGTTCAGGTATGTTCCATGTGTCTTCTCATTTCAAGTAGAAAGTGGAGCCTGTATCTTGCTCATCAGAGTTTTTTCATATTTTTCTTAGCTTGACTAGATAGGTTTTAGGTAGGGGTTAGCAATATTTTTCTTTTCTTTTTTTTACCCCACCCTCCGCCCTCACTCCCCACCCACTGTCCTCATCCATAGGTGCACGATTTTTGTCCAGTTTCTTCCCGCATCTCCCATTCCCCTTTCCCCCCCAAGAATAGTCAGTCCATTCCCTTTCTATGTCCCTGATTCATTATAATCACCAGTTCATTCTGTACATCAGATTATTTATTCACTTGGTTCTTAGATTCACTTGTTGATAGATGCATGTTTGTTGTTCACAATTTGTATCTTTACCTTTTTCTTCTTCCTCTTCTTAAAGGATACCTTTCAGCATTTCGTATAATACTGGTTTAGTGGTGATGAACTCCTTTAGCTTTTCCTTATCTGTGAAGCTCTTTATCTGACCTTCAATTCTGAATGATAGCTTTGCTGGATAAAGTATTCTTGGTTGTAGGTTCTTGGTATTCATCACTTTGAATATTTCTTGCCATTCCCTTCTGGCCTGCAAAGTTTCTGTTGAGAAATCAGCTGACAGTCGTATGGGTATTCCCTTGTAGGTAATTGAGTCTCTTTCTCTTGCTGCTTTTAAGATTCTCTCTTTGTCTTTTGCTCTTGGCATTTTAATTATGATGTGTCTTGGTGTGGTCCTCTTTGGATTCCTTTTGTTTGGGGTTCTCTGCGCTTCTTGGACCTGTAAGTCCATTTCTTTCACCAGGTGGGGGAAGTTTTCTGCCATTATTTCTTCAAATAGGTTTTCAATATCTTGCTGTCTCTCATCTTCTGGCACCCCTATTATTCTGATGTTGGTACGCTTGAAGCTGTCCCAGAGGCTCCTTACACTATCTTCGTATTTTCGGATTCTTTTTTCATTTTGCTTTTCCGGTTGGGTGTTTTTTGCTTCTTCGCATTTCAAATCTTTGACTTGATTCTTGCGCTCCTCTGGTCTGCTATTGGGTGTCTGTATAATATTCTTTATTTCAGTCCGTGTATGCTTAATTTCTAGTTGGTTCTTTATCATAGCATCGAGGGTCTCATTAGTTTTCGTGACTCTCTCCTCAAGTTTATTGACAGCTTCTAGCACATTTTTGCAAGCCCTCAAAATTGCGATTTTTAGCTCTATATCCTCCATTTCTGTCATGTTTTTTTGTCTCCGCATTTTTTATGCTTTCTTGGTGCACCCCCTAGTGGTCTTTGTGCGCAGTCTTGTTCTAGTTGAGCCTTGATTGTTGTAGTTAATACTAGAGGGATTTGACCACCAGGCCGACTGGCTGTGTGAATCAGCTGTGTCTGCCGCGGAAAACTTCTGTCCTCTGGGGAGGTGCTAATCTAGCCTTTGCCTGAGGCGATCTGGCAAATGGCTCTGCGCAGGGCTTGGGCGGGGCGGGCTCAACAGGGCGGGCGGAGGGAGCCGTTATGGTGCCCTCAGTCCTGTTCCCAGAGGCTCTGCTTCTCAGAACCCCCGGAACCGCTGCAAACCTCGGAGGGAAAGCTGCCTTCCAACTGATGCCAGACACTCCCGCTTCTCCCGTTTGGGTCCGAGTCCCCAGCGATTCGCCCGTATCTGGAGCTCAGAGTCTGAGACTCCCCCCTGACCGAAAACGACAACCGCGCTCTCAGCCACCAGCCCGCTTTGCGCGCGCACCTCCGCACCTGAGTTTTTTCCACACTGCGCCTCCTCTGAGCCTCGGTGTGCTGTTATCTTTCCTTCTAGTTGAAGAATCTCTCCTCAGCCAGCCTTCCTGTGGTTCTGGGTGATGTCCATTCCGTCTTTTAGTTGTATTTTTGAAGTGGTTGTTTGCGGCAGCAGTCTCAGGTGTTTACCTATGCCGCCATCTTGCTCGGCTCTCCGCAAAATTTTTCTTTAAGGGACCAGATGGTAAATATTTTAGGCTTTGCAGGCACAAATAGTCTCTGTTTTATAAGCTTAATATTCTGTTTGTTTTTTGTTCTTTGTTTTAAAATAACCTTTAAAACTATGAGAGCTGTTCAAAAATAGGCTATGCAGGTTAGATTTGGCCTGTGGGCTATAGTTTGCCAGCCCCTATTGTAGAATAAGTGGTCATAACAAGAGAGTTGAGATTTTTAAAAAATCTAAATTAACTACTTTATTAGTAATTATCCTGGATTCTTACATCTGCTCCTTGTTCATGTCTACCCTTTCTTAAAAATGCTTGAAGGCATTTAATCATTCCTCAGAAGTATTTTTCTTCTTCTTTCAGGCTGTTATCAAAGATCAGCTTCAGGAGACCCAGGGGCTATGTGAATATGCTATCTATGTCCAAGGTAAGACATATATTTCTTTTCTTCTTGTTAGAGGAATGCACACTTTGCCTAGGTTTCTGGAAAAAGAGCAAACAACTTATGCTTAAATTCAAGTGAGTGTGCCGCAAAGGTTTTTTTTCAGTGTTGGTTTTTTATTTTATTTTATTTTATTTTTAAATACTGTGCTACATTTGCTTTAATTTATTTTTTATTTTTTTATTTTTATTGATTTCAGAGGGGAAAGGAGAGTGAGAGAGCGATAGAAACATCAATGATGAGAGAGAAACATCGATCAGCTGCCTCCTGCACACCCCCTACCCGGGAATCTAGCCTTCAACCAAGTCATATGCCCTTGATCGAGTCGAACCCGGAACCCTTCAGTCCAGGGGTGGGCAAACTTTTTGACTCGAGGGCCACAATGGGTTCTTAAACTGGACCAGAGGGCCGGAACAAAAGCATGGATGGAGTGTTTGTGTGAACTAATATAAATTCAAAGTAAACATCATTACATAAAAGGGTATGGTCTTTTTTTTTTTTTAGTTTTATTCATTTCAAACGGGCCGGATCCGGCCCGCGGGCCGTAGTTTGCCCACGGCTGCTTTAGTCTGTGGGCCAACGTTCTATCCAATGAGCAAAACGGGTTAGGGCCAGTGTTGGTTTTTTAAATTGGAACATAATTCTTAGGCTAGATTTGACCTCAGAAATGACTGGTTATGTTAAAAAAAAGTTGCTACCATCCTTCATCCCATTTCTAGTTTCTGCCTAGTGTTTTTCAGAATGGATATTAGGGTCCTTGCTTCTGCAGTAGTTTCAGGCCCAGAAAAGGCTTTGAAAGGATTCCTTGTAATGAGGCTAAAAGAGATGAGGAAAGACTTGAGGATTTTTAGTAAGGTGAGTCAGGATGAAGGGAAGAAGCCCAGAGATATACAGGCTAAAGCAGAGAATAAATGAAATTCATTAGAAATCAAATATGAAAACCATTGCCTGAAATTTTACTCTTTAGTGCCAAAAGTTGCATCCCTAGTTTTCCCATGAACTTTGTTTTTGACCTCTTTTGTATAAGTGAGTTATTTTGTTGACCACTCATTGCCTTTGTGGTCTTCAGATTTGTATATAATTTTTTGGCATAATTGGTAAAATATTGACATATCTAGGACATCATGGCAAAAAAAAAAGTTCTTTTATTCCCAATGTCACAAGTTTAGTGCCTCATAATACTTAAGCATGGAAATTCTTTTGTTGTTGTTGTTGTTAATCCTTACCCTAGGATACTTTCTATTGATTTTTAGAGAAAGTAGAAGGGAGGGAGAGAGACACAAAGAGAGAAACACCGATATGAGAGAGACACATTGATTGGTTGTCTCCCGACCAGGGCTAGGGATCGAGTCTGCAACCAAGGTACATGTCCTTGACTGGAATCGAACCCGGGACCCTGCAGCCCACCGGCCAACGCCCTAGCCACTAAGCCAAACAAGCTAGGGCAAGCATGGAAATTCTTCTGAAAACTTAAGCCTAGGAAAAAATATTGATTCTGAATGGTTGCTATACTGATAACCAAGTCTGAATATTACTGCATTTTTTTTTTTTGCCAGAATCTCCTTGTTGGACATGGGGTATGATTGTCCTTGTCCCATTTGGGGAACTCTCTGAAAACTGAATTATGAATTATGATAAATAGAGCATCTGATAAGGGAAGGTTAAGAATGTTTATGTGTAGTTTATCTGGTTATTTGCAAGGCACCGATTATCTGTGTGATAGATATTGGGAGTGGAGAGGGTTAGGTAAGTTTGAGGCACCTTATTAAAAAGGTTTTAGCCTAGCTGTGCCTCTGCGCTGGGTGCACAATGGCGCCAAGGTCCTTTCTCCTGATAGTGCAAACTCTTGATTCCTTCTTCCTGCATCCATTTCCCACTGAGGTCACCCAAGCAACAGAAGCAACAGAAGCAAAAGCAAGGGTGGTAAACAGTCGGAGAGGGCCATGTCTCATCCTCTTCCTGCCCCTCCCCAACTTCCATCCACCGCCCACTGTCGCAGAGCTGTAAAAAATGGGCAGTTTGCAGAGGCACAGCTGAAGCCTGCAGGAAGTGGAAGATCTAAATATCTTATATTCAACTAGAGCTGCATGCTACGTAAAGGAAGGAAACTGCAGTGACTACATTCAAGATTGTAACATGGCTCTGGAACTTCATTCTCAGTCAAACCTCTTTTTCAACTGAGCAATGGCCAATGAAACTTTAGAGAAATATCAGAAAGCTTATGTGAATTATAAAAGTGTTCTGCAAATAGACTATGGAATCCAGATAGCAAATGATAGTATCACCAGAAGAACAAGAATTTTAATGGATCTGAATGCATCTAGCTGGTGGGAGAAGCTTTCACCCATCGCTTTAGTACCCATTTCTGTGCAGTTGTGAGCTTGGCAGCCTGCGGCAGAGATGCCCCCAGACTAAGTGGGAGATTCCTGCAGCCATTACCAGCTGGGCATCACAGATGAAAAAAAGTTTAAAATTCTTAAGAAAGGAAATCAATGTGTAAAGGACAAAAACTATAAAGATGCCCATGGTAAATAACACAAATGCTTAAAGATTAACAATAAGGAATGTGCTTTTTATACAAACAGAAGTTGTTACTTGAAGCTGTACCAGTTTGCAGAGGCAAAGCAGGATTGTGATTAGGTGCTTCAGATAATGGGTATGTGAAAGCATGCTGTAGACACGCTCTTGTTCATAAAGGAGTCAAGAATCATCAGAAAAGTTTAAATGATCTCAATAAAGTTCTACTAGACTCAAATATTATTGAGGCAAAGGTGGAACTAGTAGCCAGATTCCTTAATATTAAGGAGTAGAGGTCCAGTGCACAAAATTTGTGCCCTGGGGGGGGGCGGTCCCTCAGCCTAGCCTGTGTCCTCTCACAGTCCAGGACCCCTCACTCCTTACTGCCTGCCTGCTCGCTGCTCCTTAGTGCTGCCGCAGAGGTGGGAGAAGCTCCCGCCATCGCCGAGGCGCTTGCCAGCCATGAGCCTGGCTTCTGGCTGAGCAGCGCACCCCCTGTGGGAGTGCACTGACCACCAGGGGGCAGCTCCTGCATTGAGCATCTACCCCCTGGTGGTCAGTGTGCATCATAGCAACTGATCGTTCTGGTCATTCCACCCTAAGGGTCGCTTAGGCTTTTAATATATAGACTAGGGGCCTGGTGCACAAAATTCGTGCACTGTCGGGGGGGTGTTCCTCAGCCCAGCCTGCCCCCTCTCACATACTGGGAGCCCTCAGGGGATGTCCTAGTGATGGCTTAGGCCCGCTCCCTGCTCCCCTTGGGGA